AGTAAGCCGAGCTGCCCCCTTGACTCGCTTGCTACTTGTGACGCAGCTCGAATCCACAGCAAGGCGGGTCTCTGCATGCGTTTCTGCGGGGTCCCGTTGCCCACGTCGCCCGTGGCACTCCCCCAGAGCTCCCCGCGGAGCCGTTTGGAGGGAGGAAAAGCGTGAGGACTCAGCACAGCTCCCGGGGGGTCACTTTCCCAGAAACTGACCGCAACGCCCCTCCCCGCCAGCCCCGAGGCCCACGGCCCAAGGGAGGAAGCGTCCGGGCGGCTTCGGTCGTAGACAGCCAGGCCAGCGGGCAGCCCCGTCGTCCAGGAAGGCTTCCCGGAGGTCTCCGGCCAGGAGGGACCGCTCTCCCCCGTCTCAGGCCTAGGGCCCAGGGGAGAGCCCTCCCGCCCGGCCGGGGAAAGTCCCAGGGCGCATAGGGGCGACTGGCAGGGGCCCGACCGCAGCAAAGAGCTCGGGGGTGCCCCTCCCAGGACCGGGCCTAAGTTTCCCGTGCTGTTGTCGCTCACCCTTGGAGCCCGCAGTCGCACCGCAGGCAGCGGGCGCGGCTTCCCTGCAGGCCGCGGATCGGCCCAGGACAACGCACCGCCCCACCCCGCCCGTCCAGGCCTGGTCGCCTCGAGGCCCACCCTTCCTTACCCAGGAGCAGAGCGGAGCTTCCCACTGGCCGGCCGCCGCCAGGGGCAGCCGCAGGAAACCGTAGCGTCTAGAGCGGGCGAAAGGACAGCAGCGGTCACCTCCGGCTCCGCCCCGCCTCTGCAGCAGGATCAAGGCGCATGCCCACCAGGGAGGCGGTGCGGAGAGGCAGGCCTCAGAGTGCCACGTGACTCCTTAAAGCGCTGGTGCCCGCCTCGTCACCACTAGCCTTCTGAGCCGCGAGGCCAGCCGCCGTCCTCGGGCCCGTCAGGGAGGGGCCTCGCAAACCCCTCGCTCTGTCCCTCCCACTGCCCTGCCCGAGCGCCGTCGCCATGGACACGGCGCGAGGTAAGGAGGCCTTACACAAGAGGTCTCGACCAAGGAGAGGAGAGCTGCGCGCTTCCTAGCTAGGAGGAGCTAACGCGGGGCATGCCGGGTCGGGGTCCTTTGAGGACAGTTTTTCCGCCTAGCAACAGCACCTACCACTACTCCCCCAACCCCCCCAGGCCTCGTAGGACCGCAGGAGAGATGCTGAGCGCTGGCATTCAGGGATGCCTGAGGATCTGCGGCCCTGCGAGGGATGAGCGCCCCGTCCCATCACGAAGAGGCGGGACTTCTCTGGTTCCCTGCCCCCTCCCGCGGACTTTGGGGTGACGTACTGCCTCAGCTCTCAGTGGGAGGAGCTCTTTATATTTCTTCTACTATCCCTAGTCGTTCTTGGCTATAGAATTTACGGGGTGTTGGGGTGCCGTTTGTTGCACTCTTCTGAGAGGGGGCTCCCTTCTCCAATTTATAGATTGTGCCGTCCCAACCCTCAACACGCCCCCTCCCCTTTTACTGGCGTTGCCTTCCGTTTGTGGCTTGCAAATCTAGGATTTTCACCAAGATGAGGGAGCAAGTAAACAATGATACTCAACGTAAAAACAATTATCAGTTTGAAACAAATCATTTTATTCCTACTCTGAAAGAATTGCTGAACACGAAAGGACCACAGCACACAGTCACAGAATAGGTTTAAAAGGAATTACAGCATTTATGTCATAACTGGTTGTAGTAAACTAACATTTACGTCTCAGCAGAACAGAAAATATTTTGTGCTTACTACATATACCAGTGTCTTCACAGAACCCTACAGTTCCCAACCATTCCTAGCCCTCCTTTTATTGATAACAAGTGCCAGGATTGGATCAGATCTTTTATCTTTGCCCATACTCTCTCTGAGGCAGAAGCTTTCCAGTTGATGAACCACCCCTGCTTTGTGAAAAAATTAACAGCCACACTCCCATGCCTCTGGTAATCTTCAGACTTTGGGAATTCACAAGCATACTCAGTCCTGGACACATGCACCAGGGGATAATCACTCACCAAAGGTTACGTAAGAACAAACACCGAATATAGAGGGCATTTGCCCCTTTTCTCACCCAACACTGGGGACCTAGCTGGAACCACTCTATGTGATTCACAGCCAGGAAGGAAGAAAGCCCTTTGTGTCTACCTTAGTGTCCTGAGCTGTTATAGCTCAGCAGACAAGAAGAGGAATCTTTATTTAATGATAGCATTTATTAAACTCTCCCTTTTTATCAGCCACTATACTATGTGCTGGAAGGAATGGGGACGAATGCTAATCCTTATTGGAGACCAAATACATAAATCAGTCCATACAAGATTAAATATAGGTCCTATGGAAAGAAGCCATCTATCATGCAAGGTCCTTATTCGTGAGTCTCATATGGCCAGAAGCAGGCCCAGAAATCTCTCACATGCAGGCAGACAATATTTGTTCCCATATAACCCTTCTTGATAGTATCACAAGATCTTAGACTTGAAAGAGATATCATCTGTTTAAATCTGTACCCTGAACAATTATTCACCTGACCCTGTAGCCAACAAGTGGTAATCCATCCTTTACTTATCAATCTTCAAGGAAGGGAAACCCATTACCTCCTGATCTGGGGCATTGGGAGAAATGTATAAGAGCAGGCAGCCAGCATGGAGGGAAAAGGGATTTAAATAGCTTTGGTGTCCTCAAACCCCCACCCCCTAAATGAGGAGTTTCTCTTTATATACTGATGAAACAGTCCTTATTGGACCTAGATTTGGTTGTGGGGATTGGAAGAGGGTATTAACTGGTGTCTCCCTTCTCCACACCAGCAAGGATTCATTGCATTAAGGTATTCCCAAGACTCAGAGCTAAGCTCTCTTCTACATTTTTCTTTGGCCTCCCAACTTTCCAATGGGGGTATTTGTTATGGGCACTGGTTTCCAAGGGAAGGCAGATAGAAGCCAAAGTGGTGCAGTGGAAAAATTCGTACTTTGGAGTCGGAGGTCATGGGTTTCCACCCCATTTCTCTCTGTCACTTACTAGTTGTATGACCTTGGGATGCTACTTAATTCCTTCGGGCCTCTGTTTCCTCACCTGTGAAATGAGGGAGTCAGATTAGATGGCCTGTAGGATTCCTCTCAGCTTTAGATCTATGAACCCTGTCTACACGTCCTCCCCCCAACAGGCAGGTAACAAAACAGCTGTCACTCCTCGAGAGCAGCATCTCCTTCATTTTTGTTTTCATGTCCCAGCACTGAGCACAGGAAACACCTCGTAAATGCTTGCTCAATTAGATGGGAGAGGTGAGGACCTAGGCAGGATAACACCCATAGGGAACCCTAGATACTGAGGAAGAACAAAGTGGAAGCAGAGGCTCCTTTCAGGCCTTCAGGACGAGGGGACAAGGAAAATAGACACATGACTAGACCTACAGCTTTTCCACAGCATCAGTCCATAAGGGGTTCAAAGAGGGGGTCCCCTTTGTATTCATCAAAACGGTTCAGGGACTTGAGTTTAAAGATTATATGTACTCCAAAGGTAATGCAGAAGAGCATGAAGAGAGAAGAGACCAGTCCCATCCAAATAGCAGGGGAGAAGAAGGCTGCACAGTCGCTGGCACCAGAAAAGCTGCCACCAGACAAGTTGAAGGCCTGGATCTGGAAATCCTGGAGAGTTACGCTCCAGGGGGAGCGAAAATCATGAGGCATCAGAAGGCCCCATTTGGTGGGGTCACTGCTTACGTACTGGCAGTGATAGGAGTAGGTGCTGGGTGCGATGACCTGCACAGAACTGAAGAAGG